TATCACAAAAATTGAATTCGAGAATAAACATGTAAAATATATTCTCAGGACGAAATATGTAAGCGTGAGATATATACATGCACAAAATTTGCTCAATCTTGTGCAATATATTTTATTGATACTCACTTGAACGGAAAAAAAACCCTTTTCCTTGCTGACTTGTCAGCAAAGAGTGCCATGCCTTCTTTGTAGATTCTTCAGTGTAATAGGTAAATTTGTCCCGGTGCTTAATTAAGTAAAATTCCTTGAGAATGGGGAGTAGAGATACAATTCTATGCACTAGATGGAGCTGAGATCTGCCCACGGGGGGAGAGTCACCTGTAAACCAATGGCTGAAAACCGTGGGTTGGTCTTGATACGGCAAAGACAAAGAAATTTATGGATAAAATGAGGTTAGGTAATTTCACTGAATAACACCACTTCAATTTATTATGTTAGTTCACAGGAAAACCACAGAGCAGGGTGAACTGTACATGTAGAGATTATTCATATTCTCCATTTTTTAAAATTTTACAACCAATATTTGTTTAATTTCACACCACACCATGACATTTTTATCCCATTTTTACCTCAGTTTTACCAACCTCTGCAACAAATTCTTTCTGTATGTCTTTCTCTTCAGAAATCTCTTGCGGATTTGGAATGTCTGGTACACCAGGTTCCAATTTGACCCTCTGAAAACGCTGCCATTGCAATTTATCTTGTAAGCCTAGATCTAAATTTTGAACGGTATGAAGTAGCGAATTGTCATTTATACCCAATTTCACGTCATCCTCTTGCGAGTACTGTTGTGGTAGCTGACGTGTACGGATAATTTCAGCCATGACGCGAGACGAGTCTTTGGGGACGCGTGGTCGGGCTGGATCACTGTAATTCACGTAGTACATGCCAAACTTCTCCCTGAAACCACAGATGACCTTGATATCAGCTGATTTATATTAATGTTAAAATTATTTCTCGACTTACGTAACCGGCACAGTCCTCAAGACTGGGATCTGACAGAGTTACTTACGTATAACCGCTCATCCATTCGTAGTTATCAATAAGGCTCCACGCTGTGTAGCCAATCACGTTGCAGCCATCTTCATGGATTGCTTTCAGCAATTCCGATAGGTAGCTCTGAAACAAATCAATCACGGTCATATTTGGTTTTCAAAACCACACAAATGGAATTTTTTCATTTTGTAAATCCTGTTGGAAAGCAATGAATAATTTATATTAAGTAAACTATTACGTATTGCTAATATAATGAAGTTCATTTAGGGAAATATTTGTGTGATGCATTTCGTATTCAGAATGGGCTAAAACAGGGAGATGCTTTATCGTCATTACTTTTAACCTCTGTCTCGCAATATGCCATTAGGTAGGCCCATAAACGTTAGAAGGAACTTTAAATGAATGAGACACGATGATTTATAAATACCCTAATTAAAAATGAAGAAATTCTATTAAATTCTAGTAAGGAGATTCAGAAATAAATGCATTTCGTATTCAATAAAAATATTTGTAATGATTCAAAACGTATACATGACGAAGGTGATTTAAAATTAATAATTCACGTGGTCGTAACCTTTCTAATTGTACACGGCAATTAAAATTTGTGTTTAATATTCTGTAGTCTTACTTACCGTTATGTACTTTGTTCTGTTGGTGTCTCTCAGCTCTCCGTGATCTGAAAATCCATTCTCTGTGACATAAACAGGTGGGTTATTGTACTCCTTTGCTATCCACACAAGAAGCTTTCGAAAACCCCACGGCACCACCTGGAAGAAAGTACCTCCAGTATAATATTTCATTTTTCCACCATCTTCTGGGTTGTTGCGCCATGTAGTCTAGTAGAAGTTAGAAGTTTATCGACTTTTCAGAGGTCCTTGCTGCTTCCATCATCAGGGAGATGAGTGATTTAGGTAGCAAGGACCTCTGAAACGTGAAAACACGTCCATGGAACACAGATCTTCTTGAGATGCTGATAAATGCTCAGTTGATTAAAAAATGCTGAAACTTATCTACATCTGATAGTTCATTGACGTATCTGCTTTGGTATGAAAACATGAACACTCATGTGTGGATAGACGAAGTAACCTATTAATGAGACACAAAAGCGAAATGAAAAATGTCATCTATAGAGTTAAAATTTAGGGTCAGTCTCACACCTTAAGCCAAGCAGAAGCTGAGCTTGGCCAACTGGGATCTAAGATCATCTGCACTCCGGCGTCTCGAATTAAGGATGGAGTCTCTCCAACAGCGCCAGATCTTGCCAAGTTTGTCGTATAGTGGTTCAGACCAAAGAAGTCAGAAGTCCCTGAAAATAAGACATTTCTGCTCCTAGTGGCTCCTGTGACAAATATTAAATCTAAAACTGTGCTTACTGATTATATTCAAGTACGTTTAAATGTATAATTTAAGTAGCTCTGAAATATTAATTATACCTTCATGGTATATAAATTAAAACTCCAGACAACACGTCTTGATACGCCATCTTATATAGACTTAAGTAACTAACCTTGGACGTATTTAACCTCTTTCCGAGATCTAGTTCGACCTTCTTTTAAGCTGTTATTTAAAATTCGCTCTTTCATAACACGTGGATAATCGCCTTCAGAACTGAATATCGGGTGTGCGAACCAGCCCAGCTGGAACAATACGTTTTAAAAGAACGCTGATGGAATCGAGTTCATTGTGTCTTAACTATAACGTAACCATCTGTGGCAAGAATTGCGTGTAAATAATGTTTAAAAATCAGTTTCTACCTCAAAAAAAGACAACAATCACTATTATAAGGACCAGTAATTCGTTAATGATGTATAAAAAATGAAGCTTTGTGTTGTGAATCACACGAAACACATAAATATACCATGGGAAAGCCATTTACCATTGTGTTTTAAAGTAGTAAATAAGACAGGGTAACAATGACATTGAATCCTATACAGATTAACGTTATAAAACAAAAGCCAAGCGAACAGCGGAGAATCAGGGAGCCAACACATGAAATAATAAGCATAATCATAAAATGGCTGAGACGAACAAGCAGAAAAAACATAGAAGTCACAGATAAGAAGTGAATGGCATATTTTGGCTAGGCTAACATATTTCCGTGTTACGTGCCACGCCAATCTCCGCTTTGTTAAGTAGAAATAAAAACCGTGAAATTAAAGAAGAACTTACTTGAAATTGGAGTTCTCTTTCGGCTGCTTCTTTACTCTCGACAGTTCCGTCGAAAGGGTCAGCCCATTCGGAGTCGAGAGTGATCCCTATCTGACCTGCAGAACGTTTAACCGGTGATCCAAGTATACTTCATCTTTTGTGTTTAATTTCTAATTAAAACCCATAGCGAAAAGTCGAATGTTACTAGTCAGAAACTTCAGACATGTCAACCAGAAACTACCAAATCAACACAAGCACAAATGCGAGCACAACATATAAACACGTATCAATATAGGTTATGTTTATTCATGTTTCCAATACGCCGTGCTTCCAACAGTGTCCAACGATTTCGTTCTTCGCCCTTCTTTTGTCTTTCTTCTACCATAATTTTAAGCATTATAATCACGCGTCTATTATATTACTGCCAGAGCCACATATCGGCTGAATAAGGCACTACAACTACTGTTGGTAGAGCCATCTACAACACGCGATTTGTACTATTACAATCTCACGAAACATGACAGAAATGTTTGCTGTAAATGCTATTTATTTTCAAAAATTTGTATACCTTTCTGTTTCTTTCTAAACACATTGTCGTAGAGATGATACACTCGGGCATGGGCGTGGAGTACGGTGTGTGCTGACATGTAATCGCCAATGCCGTGAGCATCTATTCCGGGAGCACCTGCCCTCCATTCGCCATACCCAGCACAAAATGACAGCGGTTCGTTGAATGTGAGCCACAATTTCACCTAAAACAATGCGCTTTGTACAGGCAATTGTTTTTTTGTTTTTTTTAGCGTACTATGTACCACAGAGCGAGACGAGGAAGGGTTAGAGCCTAAGTTAAATATTATTGTGAGGTTATGTAGACGGTTAACGTGAAGTTGTTAAAAGTTAATTGTTGAATGGATCTAACGTGTGAAATTATAATATTTGCCTAGTATTTTGAATAAAATGCAATAATATTTCTTACTAGTACAGTACGTATTGAAAATAAAATAAGTTGAAGTGATTTTATGTATGCAAAATCTTTCTTTTAATCTGCCCTGACCACAACAACGAATTGATTGCTTACTTACTCTGTCGCCAAAGTGAGTAAAAAGTACGCGCGCATATTCTTCAAAATAATCAGCAATCACTTGATTAGGCCATCCGCCAATATCCTGGAGTGCCTGAGGTAGATCCCAATGATACATTGTGACCTACGAAATAGATAACCGAGAGGTTTAAGGAAGGCAAATAACCAACATCAATAATAATTTAATGCCGATATCGTAAACACATGGCCTAATGGCGAAAAAACAACGTAAGTATGTTTTAAATCTGTAGTAGAGATTTTTAACTGAATAAGATTATCAATATAACGACATTATTCATGTGAGTTGCAACGCAACATTCAGATCTGAAGACAGAGACAGCAGTTTCTCATAGATGTTGGTATCTACCTAAACGTCCTCATGACGTCACAACTCAGAAGACCAACATCGTCATTTTAAATCGTCGTGAGAACCTTGAATATCATATTTACGATTAACTGAGATCAACTTACCATTGGTTCGATACCATTAGCTAGTAGTTCATTGATGAGATTATTGTAGTAAGCAATTCCTAATTTGTTTACAACGTCGACATCTCCGGTCGGTAAAATTCGTGGCCACGAAATTGAGAAACGATACACACCAACCTGTAACACGTTTTTTTTTTTAAAAAAAATTCAGCTTTCAGTACGTAAACGCCAGGAATTTAAAACAAAAATTTATAGCACGCAGAAACAAATCTTTTCTGACCCAAAACTTGTAATTAATTAATTAATTAAGCAAGTGTTGAAAAAATCTACGAAGCCAGTATTAAAATATCACCGCTTAAATTTGACATGTAAATTAGATGCTCTAATAAGACATTTAAGGTTATTTCTTAAGCTCCCACGGATTTGGCCTAGTAGGATTCATAATTAACACTTAAACTAAGTATCCTTGCACACGTAGGTGGAAAATTATGTATTTAAAGTGTCTACATACACTCAACATCAAGGATATATATCGATTTAATGATCCCGTCATGGGACAAGTTATATATTCTGGGATGTTGCCATAACAACACTAATATACAATTATCTAAACAATATTAAAAATGACAGAAAATGGCGTCTTGACAATTTGGTCATGTCACTTACTCCCAATTCCTTAAGAGCACGTACATCCTCCTTATACAAATGGTACGAATCGGCGGCTACGTCTCCGTTGAAAAAAAAGTCAGGATGTTGATGAGTCATTCTGTCCCAGATACTCTCCCCCTTTCCTGGAAACCAAATCAGCTGACACGTGACCCTCAAACCACTTATCGCCCGTCTTTGTGCATCCCTTATACCGGTTAGTATACTGATTTAGATTAAATTTCGTATAAAATATCGATACATAAATTAGTTTATCGAGTCTCTGCGCGCTGAGTGGATAGCCAATCAAATTGAAGGATGAATATTGAAATCCAAAAGGCGAACAAAATACAAAATTGTCAGTGGAACCACGGTTCCGGAGAATCTGACGTAAATACGTCTATACGGAAAGGAAGTTTATATATTGGCTTTAATTACAACAATGCCGAGTAAACAGATGACGTTTCCTAGGTAACATAACAATGAACGCAAGCTGACCATTGTTGTCGATCCATATTTACACATTGTTGATATGGATCTTACACATTTTCCTTTCACTTGTTTGATAAATGACCCTTCCGTACAGACGTATTTACGTCAAAAATTGTGGAAGGCCATTGTTGGAAGACTTCGATATATAAACGTAATTCGGACTGACACAGTCCAAGAAACAACAATGCCCTTGTATAAGATTAGTTCAAGAACAAATTAGGACTGAACAATAAACCAGTGCAAGAAAGACCTACGTGTTGGAATTTCTGCATAATCCATAGAGCACGTATTTCTAGTGACATGAACTGCTTACCGTCTGTGTTCCATGCCCCCTCGATCTGATACGAAGCTGTGGCAACTCCAAACCGGAAGTCTGGCGGGAAGGTGTAATTGCTAAGACATTGTACAACTTTGCCCAGAGCGACAAAGACCAGAGTCACGGATACCAGCATCGTCAGCAGTCCTTCACCGACTGTGAACTTCTGTCTGCTGAACTGCTATCAAGGAGGGCAGCGTTGCGTAGTTAAAGCTGAACTCGCTATCTCTTTGGCAAACCCAGCTGAACTTTTATCAGTAAATATCCTACGGTACTGAAGATACAGTGAAATATATTTCTGTATTGGTTTGTTCTGTACATTGTCCATACCCAAAGCAAAAATAAGAATTTTTTACGGTTTAGGGGATGTCAGGGAGAAAGGAACCGGTTCTAAAAAAACCCACTTGAGATCGGGTTCAACGAAGGGCGTGCTGTTAATTATTCAAAAATAAACAAATACGTAGATTAAGAGGTTTATTGTAGATAAAATTATTGGTCAGTGTGGGGCATACAGAATGAACTATTCTCGAATAATAACCAAATATGTCTGAACTCTTAGTTTACATATGTTTATTTTATTTTGAGGTCATTGGTGTTCTTTTATTACAGACAAAAGTCTGCTGTTGCAAGTTGATTTGTTACGACTATACTAAATAAACTTTTTGTAGCTTAAATGCGTCATGTTTGTGTTAATTAAATATATATTTATTTTCACAGTCTATACACAAACGTTGTAATTAAATGATGTTGTTAAAATTATATAATATTAAAACATTATGTAGTATAAAATATTATATTTTGGCTCACTTACTGGTGACATTTTAACTTAGCTTGAGTTGTGTTTTAACGAAATGTTATCTAGAACGTAGTCACTTCTGTGTTTCTATATTTCGCGAAAGAAGTGGTTTATTTAACTAGAATTATCATTAGTTACTGTTAGGCATATCTGTACTGTAACTGATGGGATTATTATCTTGTAATAGACCACTACTACTATTAAGTACATTTATTACGTAGATGGCTAATACTACCTCTATCACTGGTACTACTGGCAATACGTGAAAGGGCTGCCATATGCAGTCCTGTTTAACTCCAAACATTTTAATGAAATTGATTTTAAATTTCTTGCAAAAACGTCCAAACAGAACACAATATTTCAGTTCAAATTTGAGAACATTTAACACCAGACACTAAAATATAGCATATACTTTAAAAACTGCAGAACGAATATAAAGTTATTTCATAATTAATTTGTATCTACTAATTATTTTATGTTTAATGACAATTCAATATTAAAATGAGCTTTCCAACGTAGTTTCTATTATTCATTGAACTGACGAAGTAACGCAATGTATGAATACGCGGTGTTTAGTACCTGAAAAACAAATTGAAATATGTCAGAACACCCTATATTTTCTACAGATTCTCAGGTTAAGATGAACGGAATGTTTATCTGTGTAAACCACATATAATTATATTTCTAAAATCCACGAAATTCTGTAATCACGATACAATAATATTTAATATACGATATGTATGTCTGTACGTAATATATTGATGGAGCTTGTGGTTTACGAAATTTGAAACGTGATACCTTAATAAATTTTAGATTAATATTCGATAATATTTTGAAGAAATATAGGAGTCCCACAAGAATTTGCCGTCAGATGCCATTAAAAATTATAAGATCAATGGAAATATGCACTGAAGTGTAAAGCAGCGAACTATTTACTTCAATAAGAGGCATGGAAAATATTATTCTCGTGATACCTAATACGAGAATTACGATGTATAATCTTCATACAAGCATATGAAAGTGTTTTTTCTGTGTTCCTCAACTAATTTGTATCGCAGGTTATAATGCTATTATCACATTTTATTTGAAAGTAAATAATTCTCGTAACTTGATGATAAAATTTCTTCATTTAAAATGCAAGGAATAAATAATAAAACGTTAATATTCACCGCTGAATACGAAGCAAAGTGCAGCTCGTTGAAGACTCCATTTCTCAGTTTTACAGCTCTCGTAGCTCGCATGAGCATCGTAGGAATGAGACTTTTGTAGGAATTTTTGAGTTTGTACCAGTCTGTTCCATAAAGAGAAGTCTGCACTGCCTCACTCTGTTAAAAAAATAGTTTATATAACTCTATTATCTGTAATAATATTTTAAAGTTATATTTAAAAAAAAAAATTCTCATAAGCAGTGAATCTGTTTTGTTGTGACTGTAAAATGTGAAAAATTGTTGAAAGTTATTAGATTACTCTCACCTGATCTAGGACATCTTGTCCGAACCAACAGTACACAAATAACTTGTACATAATCAGTACGAGCAAAGTCAGGAACTTGCAAAATTCATTTATATTAAGTCCCTGCAACAAACAAAAAGTAACAAAGAAATTTGTTATTGAATACACGAAAGGTAAAATATAGGCCTGAAAATAAATTACTATGAGATGAACGTAGCAAAATAATTTAATCTTTGCCCATTATATTTTTAGGCAAATTTCTGAGGTGTGATCCTATTCATAACTCACCTGAGTCACCTGATACCCAGTGGCACACATCATAATGGGAATATTTATCATCTGCAACATTCCGGCTATGCTCACCACATTATTTAATTTATAGGTGAATCTGGAATATTTAAAGCGTTCGTGTAAATTTTAAAATAAATTACATTACCGTTAAATGACACTTACACCACTAAGAACTTAAACATAGCATCTGAAGGAGAGCGTGGCATAGTTTTACACATTAAAATTCATAAATTGTTGATTCGCATTTGTCACGACATTTTAACACTCAGTGGTAACTATATGATCCACCTATTTTAAAATCCAATACCTGGTAATTCTTCCCGAAGAGTATGTTCATGAGTTTCTGATTATTCTACGAATAAACAAAGATTATCTCCCTAAACAGCATTAATCAGATATTTGTAATGAAGTCGCGTTGTCATAATGTGTATTGTTTACAATCAGTAAATATTATTTTTAACGTGAACGGACAAATAGAACAATATTTAATTTATGTTAATTATATGGCAACATATGCGAAAAAAGAGCCAATTTATAAGCATTACAGTTATTAATTTGTATCGATACGAATGTCTACAGTAAATAATCCCGACTTCGTATCATAAATATTTAATTTGCATAAGATTTCTTGTCTTTACCAGAGCTAGACAGGGGTACATTCATTTTTTATGTTTCAATTCTTAATCTTCGAGAGTGGAAACTGTGAACAATTTTAGCAAATGAGAAATTCCAGCAAAAATAATAACAATCCAGGAACCTGGACATCGTGAATTTGAATTATTTGAGAAACGTAGTTTACTTACTGTATCGCCGATTCATGTTGTCTGATGCAGTCAACGAGGTATAGTCTAAAGGGGTCATCCTTGTCCCCTGTTAAAGCCGTCTCATCCGGAATCCCTTCGAAATTACTACTGTGGGCGCTGAAGTCATCCGGTAAGATATAGTCCTCGTAATTTATTTTGTCCTCGGAAATATTCTCATTCATTTCATCTAACAACTTTCCCAAAATTTTAAACCGGGCAGCCAGCAGACTCATTAAAATCATTAACAACAAATCAACTGATTGGCTAGAAAATACCATCATACTAGCAGAAAGAATTTGGTAGAGAAATGTCATTTCATACTGAGGCGATTCACGAAATTCAAATGGTATGTACATCACAAGTACTAATTTTTCTGTAATGATCTGCTCCGTGGTCATATTTTTAAAATCGATGTCTACAGCGGACGCGTCTTTGTTGATAATCGGTAGGAGCCCCGCGGAAGTAATAGCCAACACAGCCAAGACGACCCTCAAAATGGTGAGGAATTTAGCCTCGCGTTCAGTCGAATCAAGTAATTTCCTATATTTCGGTCTCATTTTCGCAATGAACTCGGTCTTCATATGATGAACCATTTCTAAAACTGTACGTTTACGATACATGAAGTTGATGTAGTCACAACAGGTTATGACACAACCCATTGTAGTACCAAGGGTATAAGTAATTACTCTCATATTACCCCAATATATAACCATAGCGATCACCTGAGAACCTATTGTAATTGCCATGTGAGTAAGCTGTAACAGTGGGAAGACATTATAGAGTATTTTTGAAAGCTTGCTTGATGACTCTGGAATCCACAGACCAGAGTAAGTCAGGAGGGCAAAGTTCAACTTAAAAATCTGTAGTTCGTATACAGAATTCTCTTCCGTTTCGTCGGCATTCTTTCCAGTCGCTGGGATTGCAATCTGCTTCTGGTCTGTTCCAGACAACTCCCTTGAAAATAATTAAAACGAACATTAGATTATTGTCGTTCTTGAAACCAGAATAAATGTTGAAACAATGAACTTCTGAATGCGCCTTTTTCTGTGTTTAAAGCATAGATCATAGCTATGATCTATGGATTTCAAGGAGAATAAATACAATGAAGTTTATAGAGTTTTTTGCCTGTTGTTTTGTATGGTTGTAAGACATGATATTTCACGTGAAGGGAATAACGCAGATTGAGAATGTTTGGATCAAATGACACGAAATATTATGAGATGATAAAATCATTGAAGATGATTTTGACCAGAAATTCATAAGGAAAGACGCTAGTCAGAAGACCTTGGCGTAGATGGGAGGATAATATTAAAATGGATCTTAAGGAAACAGATTTGGAGGGGTTGACTCAAGACTGGAGGACTTTCTGGACGTGGTAGTTAATATTGGTAATCCATAAAGGTGAGAAATCTCTTGATTACGTGTAAGTATGGTAGATTCTCAAAAAGGGTTTCTTTCCTTTTAGTTAGTTAGTTAGTTAGCGGACCTAGTTTAATTGAAAACACGATAAGCATATATTTAATTAAACCTTATTCTAGAAATCGTAACACAGAATCAGGTGAAGCCGGACATTTATATTGCTAATAAAGTATCTGTATTATTACACTTACCTTATAGTCTTCATCTCTAAAAGAAAATGTTTTACTTTCGACGTTGGGCATACAATGTACTGAAGGACGAGCCCTTCGGTGTCTCCGGAAAAGATTATTTAATGTTGGTAAATTTTTCCTTTACAGTTTTCTGATTTTTATAAAAATCAAGTGACTCAAACGTATACAGAGGAATTTTTTTTTTCTAAAATGAGGATAAATTATACTGTGTGTATGAATGATGTTATCATTTACAACGTTTTATCAAAATAAAACAAATTGTATAACATTATTTAAATCTCTCTTCTCATGATATTTTTATTCCTGAATCTAGACATGCTATTATTTACATATTAAATTCCTGAATAAAGAACACGCACATAAAAAGATTTTTTTAAAAAAAAATAAGATATTTATAAAGTAAGATGTTTAAATTTTCTGATACGTTATGAGAAAATACGTAAAGTGCCTATCGACAGAATTATAGGCTATGATAGTCTTAGTACAAGGCAGAGTTTTGTGCAATTCAACAAGTTTTATTTTAGGTTAAGAATATTTAATGAATTGATCAAAAACCCAAACTCATTTTTAAAATTTTCGTTTAATCAGAAGACTCGCGGAGTTCTCTCACGAATATTTTCAGACAGTTCTAATGCTGCCATCTTTTTACCTTAAGTCAATCAGGAAATTAAAGCATGCAACGTATACTTCATATACTAAACCATAATCTATTTTAACTTTTAATATTTCTCAGATAACATCTTTATGAAATGACGGTAACCTAATGAGCAATTAGTGAAATATTTTTCATTTTTCATTAACGTATTATGCACCACCTAAGAAAAATGTGAGGATGACATAAAGAACTTTGGTGCTAAAATGAAAAGAAAGAGTCTACTTGGAAGACCTAAGCGTAGATGGAAGGGAAATATTAGAACTAATGTCATAGAAACAAGACGTGAAGGTGGACTAGATTTATCTGGTTGAGGAAAGAAACCACCGAAGCGTTCTTTTGTTCATAATCCAGAAAAAGAGGGACTTTATTGATAGATCAGGGATTTTTTTAACTTTTGAAGGACTTAGCTCAGCGGCTTAGTTGGTTAATTTTATTCAGAAAAGCATATCAGAATAGTATAGAGGTTTCCAAACTTTTATACCTTGTGCCCCCCTTAAAACATTTAATAAATTTCACGCCCCCCTTCCAGAACAAGTGCAAGAAAAACAGATTTGACATAAAATTTAGCTATGAGTAAGACAATCAAACTGCCTCAACCAATCAAAGGATGTTAAAAATATTTCTCCATATTTCGTTAAAAAAAAATTCATACAAAGAACACGGGCCCCCCTAAGGGGGCGCGCCCCACACTTTGGCAACCTCTGGAATAGTAGATATCCTTAATATTATGCATTTATTTTATGAACTTTCAGCGAAGAAAGTATAAATTAAGTAAGAGGTTATTCAAAAGTTTCCTTAACTTCTTTAGAATTCGTTTTCATGTTTTCTGTAGAAAATGAGGCATTATTATGTTAGTATTAACTTGTCTGCAGGAATAAGTTGTCTGAAAGAATATTAAATAACCAGGCACAACGCTTCATTTTGAACTGTCCTCTTACTAAACGAGATTAATATTGCAGCAGAAATTCTTGCGTGCAGTAAAATACTTTCGGAATACAAAATTCTTTTTTGATTAAGTGGTTATGATCGGATTTTTTGTTTTCATAATAATGATACATAAGCTGCATCTCAACCGAATTACAAGACCTTTTTCCATGGAATCCCCTAGAGGGCACGCGAAGGACACAACTGACGCAAAAAAGTAATATTTATTCCACCAATTAAAATTATTTAATAATTTAATGTCTACACGCAGAAATTCTTCACTGTTTCTTATAAATTCAGTCTAAGTTGAACTTCGTAAGAAGCAGTCAGCTTTTTTTTTAAAGCCACGGGAAAAGCAAAAGTGTTCTTGCAAAGAACTACATACGCCACTGCCAAGTTTCCCGTCAATAATTTCGAAAAAAATTAAAGGACCAAACACACGCAGTCACAAATATTATCGAATAAGGCAAATATCTGAAAATGATCAGCAAACAACCAACACTTATTATCTTGCTCGTTGGGAATTCCGACTTTGTCCATCGTCAGATGTTATGTTATAAAATTACACTACGTTTCAAGAACTAGATATGCCATAGTTTTAAGATGGTGACTAAAGTGGTTCTTAAAACTTTAGGCTAACTTCGAAAATTTAAAAAAAAATATTATTTTATAAACCACGCACAAATACTGATTTTACCAAAAAAAGGAAGAAATTAAACAAAAATGAAGCAAGAATAAAGGAAAATAATAAAATGATAAATGGACTATAAGATACATTAAGGATAACATTAGACTTTTTTCCCAATATTTTTCAAACATTCGTAAAAAAATAATGTCTGATAATATATGGTTCATCTTTATTGATTCCCCCCCCCAAAAAAAAATTGAATTCCAAAAATTAACAAATCCATGTTTCGAGAATAAACTCGAGAGTTAATAAACTCCCAAACATTTCTAAAGTACTTCTTGTTTCGTAATTACACGGCCTGTCTATTATATAACGGACTGTGGAACTTTCCTCTTACTCATTAAGTTCACTGTAATTAAAACATTTGGAATCTTTTTTTTTAAGCAGTGTTATTGACCGAAGAGATCTACAATTCAGTCCGAAGCTATCTGATGAAAGCGGTATGGAAACTTTAGCGGGCGAAGTGAGAACTTTCTACGTAATATCAATCTTATTGCTGAATCTAAGCGTATTGCATTAGTAAGTAATAAGGAGCCATTGTACAGAATTAAGCAACTAACTCAGAAAACAAATAAATGTCACCCAGAAGATTATTTTTCCAAACCACGCTAACGAAATCAAACTAGATTCTTAACTACGTAATTATTAAGTCAGTTGCGAAACCAACTTATTACCAAAAACACGTTAAGTATCTACTTAACAAACAAAATAATATTAAAAACATGTCGAGATTTTAAACTCTCCGGTTAAGACATCGATGATGACATTAAGGGACGTTACGCGGCGTGGACTTGTAGGTAGATACCGACGTTTCGGAGAAACATGCTGTCTACATCTTCAGGGCTTCAGTATGTTTCTTCAGGACTTTCGCATATTCTACCTATAAGTAAACGCGGTTTCAAAACGTAAACAAGAAAAAAGCTAATTACCTAGTTGAATAACTTACGTAATAATTAGGAATTTGTTCTGTTAAACTCTCTGGTACCTATCTACTCACGTTAAACTATTAATAAATTATCTGATTATCATAGATACAAACCGACTGTGCCAGAAACAGCCTAAGTAATTACCTAAATACAAACTTAGAATGTGTAAGACAACCATTTAAAGACACGTGATATATGTAAAATAAACTTTTCTTTTGTGCATTCAATATATTCAGATATCTCACAGAAATATACATCCCAGTTGGCTATAAGTAGTCTGAATTTTATAGATGTTATTTTATATTGGATGCCACAACACTTGTTAGACATTAATTACTTCGTATAATTAGGCATGGGTGCTCGTTAGCGTGTTATCTCCCACTTTATCTCGAAGTTAAGGATTCAAAAATGAAATTATCTCACATTCTTTAACACCCTGTATATAGTACTGGAACGGTTCAGATTCTGAAGGACACGAGAATAAAATACAGGTTGCAAAAATGTACATCATTAACACCAAAGACAAGAAACAGAACATGTATTTACATACCTCGTGAATATTCTATACGCAGATATTACACTTTTACCAGAATTCTATAATGACTTTTGAAGTCTTGCTTTAGAATGCCTACTATTAACACCTCGTCAGATGCCAATAAAATGTAATTGTTATTATAAAATTCAATATTCATTCTTGTAAATTCGTAAAAAAAAATTTTTCCAATACGTTAAATTTTATTTTATTACCGAAAACTTGAATATCAGGCATAGACCTCGCAAAAACAAACCGTCGGATGGAATCTGTTGATTGGCCAAAGTCTGCGAATGTATTTTTTGACATCTGCATCAAAATACAAATTCAATAATGGTACCTCAGAACCATCAGAATAGATGACAACCCTATTTTATTCTATTTACCATTAAAAATCTTTCACAAGGTTTGTGGAGCTCTAAAAATGCCACTAAGTAGTCTACGAAAATAATTACAAGATATTCTTTCGATATATCGACTAGTACTATCGCAAATAATATTGTGATTACAATAATCGTCATATCTAGCTTCTTCCCTCTTCTTTCTACGAGTCGTTCAGCTGAATGAGCATCGTGAAATACGAGTAGGATACGTTCACAATCTGTAACAGGAATTGCAGAGCTACAAGGCGTACCAACACTTCTGGAGAATATTTACCGCAAATCAGATGTTCCGGTAAAATAAATTTACAAGTTTTTAACTACTCGTAAATTTAAAGAAGCACTTATTTCATTTGTCCACTTTTAATTTTTTTTATGGGAAATGCATTATTCAAATATTACACCTTTGTACCTTTCTGTAAATTTTTAATTCCCCCCCCCCCCAGGTTAGGATTTATGGTTTATCTAATAAGTGTTTACCATGCTACCCCTTCATAAAGTATCCTAATTTTCTGAATACGTATTCATGAAATAATTTAAGACGTAAGAAAAATATTTTGAAAAACCTTCACGACTCCTTAACTAAATTCAATTTTTGTGTTAAGAAAATTTCAGCATGTAATTATTTAAGATAGATTAAAACAATTTTAATTTCAGATAGAGTATTCTAAAATAAAATAAAATAAAACTTAAGCGCGGAAACAATTATCATTTCACTCAACATATATTACTGATATTCACATTATAGAGGCATGCAAAGCAGAGCTAATTTTGTCATAGAAAGGAAAGTTACCCACCGAGGCTAACGTGACGAAAGACATGTCATAGAAGACTCCACCCTTCACCTTTACCGGCCTCGAAGCCTTCATGATGGAAAGAGGTAAGAGGCGCTTAAACCCTGGCTTCTGGTTGTACCAATCTGTGCCGTATAATGCAGTCGCCACCTCCTCGCTCTGTAGACAGTAGTAATTTTAACGCACACCCTGTATTTATAATCAAGTCATTATGTTCCTGTAGCAAGCAAATTTTTAACATACGCATCTCAGTACATTCCACAATAAGAAGTACTGAAAAATTAGAGTGTATTATAAAAAAACAAATAAAAATCAAGAGTTACGACATTCAACCAAAGTATAGATGGAATAAATGAAAACGTTGAACATTATCGCATATGCAACAATCCTAGAGATTTCATAGCAAACAGATAAGATTCTAGGTTATCACGTGGTAAAAATGTGCTGACGTTTCAGAGACCCTTAATGCCTCCCATAATCTCTCTCACGACGGCAGCAAGCACCTCCGAAACGTCAGCCAGTTTCTGCAAGACAACACGGCTCAGCGTCCAGAATAATGGTGTAATCATACTGGCCGCCTTGAGAACCTGAAATGTCACACTTCGTATTGTTCCACACCAATACTTTCGAAATTCGTTATTCTTAAGCACATTGCTCCGGAAGTCGATAATCTTAACTCATATGGAAATACAGCTGACAAACCTAACCTCGTTTATCACTTGTTGTCCGAACCAGCAATAAGAGAATATTAAGTACAACGACCCAGCTAACAAGGAGGCGAACTTGAAGAAATGTTTTTGGTCACCAACAGTCTGTAACAGAGGCAGAACAATTGTCCGTAAGGCCCAAAATCCCTTAACAGCATTGTAATGGCTAAGGTTTAACAACACGAACCATATTATTATAGTGTGGTTACATAAGGATCAAAATCCCTTAACACCAGCAAACTATCACCAAACAACAAACATTGATCATTGTATCGATACATGGCCAGTGAAGACAGATGAGGAAGACTTCTGTCCATGGAACAAGCTTAAGATGTTCGGAAAAGGAGAACGATGAGTGGTGGTCCATTTCTTGTTTATCTGATAAGACGAAAACATCGCGAGGGAATTTAGTCTCGAAGGCAGGGCTCTCTCTGACCATGACCTCGGCAGCCTATTTAGTTAAATATATTTCATGAAGGAAAGGGTATACTTGGTAGACCTTGACGTAGATGGAAGGTCAACACTGAAACGTATCTTAAAAATAAAATATATATATATAATAATTTACCTGTGTCATTTGAAAACCTGTCATGCAGATCAAAATTGGTAAGTTCACTATCTTTAAGAAGGTCGGAAAGCTGACCACTTCGTTCAAATAATCGACGAACCTGCAATATGTAAAAGCTGTTACGATGTGAAGAAAATGTATACAGGGCGATTCGAAATTACAATTCGAAGAATCAGGAAATCAAATCAGACCTGTGACGCAGATTTATTTGAATGATAGTGATAGATCATAATGTCTTATGAGGAAACTGACAATTATTCCTACTCAAATATTAATTGTAAGCTAACCCCACGTCGATGGCCAATGTTGTCACATGTCGATAACAAAATGGATGCAACCAATGTTTATAATAACTTTTTAGCTGTAATTAAGAATCACCCTGTATAATAGGTTCAGGATCTTAATCATTTGCATTCTTCACCAAATATTATTAGGATGATAAAATTGAAAGCGTTTACACGTAAGCATTGGAACAATGAGAAAAGCAGTCATTTTAGTCGGAGAATGGAGAAGACACTTTGGAAAAATTTGGTTAAATGGAAAATTGATATTAAAAGAAATCTGAAAATGGACCTGTATTCATCTGCATCAGGATAGGGTACACAGACTCTCACGCGCACGATTAAATTTTGTTAATAAACTTGAACAAATTAAACAGTAACTAAACCTAAAATTCTGATTTGAAATATAAACGAAAGTTATCTGTGTGCGTGAGAGAAATGTATTTTCAGTAGATTATCTAAAAATATGAAAATTATAACTTACTCAATTATGGCTTGATGATATTTGATGCATTTAACAAGATAGTCTCTGCACTGATCTTCGAACATCTGATCATCTTTTGGGTATGTCATCTGAGCACCGGGATTTTCAGAGTTATCGTCTATTTGAATCCGTGACCGGAGAGAAATGGATCCGTGCGCTGTGTTCCTAAAACTATCATCTGTGGTAACATGTTCATAATCCACGATTTTTGCAGTTTGCAAGTCATTTTCAGAAATGTTCTGGTCCATGTCATCCAGCATTACTTGCAGTACCTTGAACTGAGCTGCTGCGTGACTCATCAGACAGAGGAACATGATATCAACAGCGTACAGTTGCATTATCGCTAGAGATACAATGGCAAATTGTAATAGAAAAACTATTTCATACTGAGGCGATTCTATAGTCTCGAAAGGCGCCCACATCACAAATATCATCCTTTCCAAATAATGATCCGCTGTGGTAATATTTTTATCTTCAACATTTGAGATCAGATTGCTATTTAAAAGCGGTAGGACTGTCCACATAAAACAGCAGGTCAGAACTATGGGAGTGGAGAGTAAAACGTCGATTTTGACTTGGCGTTCCGCGTTCTGAATGAATCTGATATATTTTGATTTTACCTTGGACACGAATTCAGTTCTCAACAAATCTACGAGTCCCACAAATTTAGTTTTGCTCAGAATGAAATATATGCAGGTGATGAAGGAGACAGTCAAGCCATTCATAACGCTCATAGTTGATGCGATTAAGGGAATATTTCCCCAGTGAGCAACTATTGCGATCAATTGACACGACAATGTTATCACGTCTATCACGAGAATGCTCGTTCTAATGACTTTGTACACGAGATTTACAAAGGGTGTCGCACCATCAGGAGGCAAAAGGAAAAATGCATTGAGAAGGAAATTGAAAGTCATTATCTTCGTATTTTTTTTAGAAGTTTCATCTTCCTTATTGAATACATCTGTCTTTCTAGAATCCAGGATCTCTTCCTTTGTTAACTCGGTCATTTTTCCTGAAAATCTGGTACAAAACCTGTTAACGCAAATTATTGTCGATTAATAAACAATTATTATTTTATAACTACAAATACACGACTATTTGTAATTAAAGTTAAATTAGAAGTAGCCAAATATTTAAAAGATTCCCTACGACGAACTCAACCCTGTCCTGTGTTTTAAGATAATTTCAGTGCGTACCTTACACCCCGATTTATTTAACCCATTTTAATATTATTTTTCTTTCCGTGCCATTGTTTTCACTTGAGGCACTCAAATTAAAATTATGATTGTATTTCTATCTTTACCATGTTTGCTACAATGTCTCATCAACTCATTCTCCCCATTTGATCAATCTAATAATATTTGGCAAAGAGTGGAATTTATTAAAACCCCAATCACGCAATTGTCTCCACCAACTTCCAATTTCTTGGTCAAAACTATCTCATTAGTACGTTTTTATCAAACACCCTCAAAATGTTATTCTTTCGAGGTGACAGAAAAAGATTTATACCCAAACAACAGGAAAAATTAAGATTTTGTACGAGTTGTTTAAATATTTACGCTTTTAGATAAGAAACTTGAAGACAAATAAATTTAAAACTGACTGATAAAACACTCAAGTCATCACATTTAATGAGATTTTATCTTATATACTGGTACATCAATATAAAACAGGAACATCTAAATTTGTTTGCGAACTTTAACAAAGCAAAGTAAATAATGCCGACATGTTACCTTGCTGTACTCTAGTTGACAAGTACGTCTCTATGAATGCAATATTCCCGTAGATGAGCAATGGACTGACGTAACTAGTTTCCACTTCCCCCTTCGAAAGAATAACTTACGTTCATTACGTCAAACACACCGAAACACTTATGTAACAAGCACGTATGAACTTTTTAACGCGAGACTAAATATTTTACGTACAGGGCAAAAGAACATGGTTTCTAATTTGCAAGATACTTCCCACATCAGCAAATTATGAGATCTATTATAAATGATCTTTCGTTGTTCACTGTTGTGTGCACAAGATGCCCGACTTCTTTAAAGAACGGTAAAAATTAATTGCTCAATGGATTTGAACAAAAGTTATGTAACTGAATTTCTGTACAAGAAAATCCAATCTGACAATTACTGGACATAAGTTCCTTTGTTATCTTTGCAGTTTGTGCTGGCAAATATCACGTCTTCTTGACAACACATCACTGAAATCGTCGACATAAACTTGAGTGTTAACCATCATATGTTATGAATTTATAAAATAATAACATTCTCAGTATAGAAAACATCAAAGGATACCTTAATTTTCATAAAGACAGGGCAGGACCAAGGTCTATATTCTTCTTCTTTATTACGCCGTCTCCTTTACAGGAGGTTGGCGACATTACGAACAGGATCCTTCCATCCTTTTCTCTTCTCGGACTGAGACCTGTTCATATACGTTCTTGGCAGATGATCCAGAAGTGGTTTGCCATTGCCTTCTTCTGTGTGTGAATGGAGTAATTGTTGGGATGCCACGGAGGAAACCTCCGTGTTGCCTAGACCACGGCCTTGCCCAACACAAGTTATAAATTCGAACCCGACACCCCAGGATTACAAGGCCAGCGTTCTAACAGCTAG